TTATTCCATATATTTTGAATATATATATATATATATATTTGTGTATATATATATATATATATATATATATATATAATATCTGCATGTATATTTTCTATTTCGACATGTATATTTTATATTTTATATTTTATTTCTATTCTTGTATATTTTGTAGTTTTGTTTTATTGTAAAATGCCTTTTATGCTGCTGTAACAACAATTTCCCAATTTGGGATCAATAAAGTACTATCTATCTATCTATCTATTAAACTGACGTTATATTAACCTCCGCTACACACAGTGTATTTTGCTTTAATAAAAAATGTTGATCACAAAAAAAGGGTTATTTTGCGATTTGGCAAATCTGAGTCTGCTGTTGACTCGTGCATGAGGACGAGTCTGCTGGATCTCTGGATCTGCTGCTATATACGGCTCCGAGTCCGCACGAGTCTGATCCGCTGTGTGTTGCAGCGAGTCAGGATTTGCGAATCTGAGTCTGCTGTGGACTCGTGCATGACGATGAGTCTGCTGGATCTCTGGATCTGCTGCTATATGGTTACGGCTCCGAGTCCGCACGAGTCTGATCCGCTGTGTGTTGCAGCGAGTCAGGATTTGCGAATCTGCGAATCTGCGAGTCTGCGAGCGAGTCTGCGAGTCTGCGAGCGAGTCTGCTCGTGCATAATATAGCGCGGGAGCCGGGTGCTGGAGGAGGGGCTATGCTCGTGCACATGACGAGTATGGAGGGCTGGATCTGCTATGCTATTACGGTTAGGAGCCGTCGGCTCCTCTGTAGAGATGGCAAATCCGGATCATTTTACGGACTCCGGGTCTTCTGAGTCAGTCATTGAAGAGATCCGGATCATACGAGTCATTTGAGTCATATGAGTCAGCATCACCAAGACCGTAGAAATCCTATTGGTGAAACCGAAAAGTTGTTGCATTTCACGAGCATATTATTATTCCATATATTTTGAATATATATATTTGTATATATATATATATATATATAATATCTGCATGTATATTTTCTATTTCGACATGTATATTTTATATTTTATATTTTATTTTATTTTTATTTCTATTCTTGTATATTTTGTAGTTTTGTTTTATTGTAAAATGCGAATCTGCGAATCTGCGAATCCGAGTCTGCTGTGTGGACTCGTGCATGACGACGAGTCTGCTGGATCTCTGGATCTGCTGCTATACGGTTACGGCTCCGAGTCCGCACGAGTCTGATCCGCTGTGTGTTGCAGCGAGTCAGGATTTGCGAATCTGCGAATCTGCGAGTCTGCTGTTGGAGCCGTCGGCTCCTCTGAGTCCCCACGAGTCTGCAGGAAGTTTCACTGATCCGCGTCCCCTCCCCTGAGCCAAACGATCACTTCTGGCAGCTATCCTGTGACTGTATACTTGCTAAAGGGTAGGTAGATGGACTTGGGGTACGTTGTAATGTGATTTTACATGTTATAAAGAGAGTAGCGAGTGACGCATTTTATAGTTTTAATTTGTACGTCACACCAAGTGTGGGACTCAAGGACTCGGGTTAATGGAGAGGGGAGACTCGTCATGACCAGCTCATTTCTAGGATCCGGGTTAATGATCCGGATGAATCAGGACTCGCCCATCTCTACTCCTCTGAGTCCCCACGAGTCTGCAGGAAGTTTCACTGATCCGCGTCCCCTCCCCTGAGCCAAACGATAACTTCTGGCAGCTATCCTGTATACTTGCTAAAGGGTAGGCAGATGGACTGGGGTACGTTGTAATGTGATTTTACATGTTATAAAGAGAGTAGCGAGTGACGCAATTTATAGTTTTAATTTGTACGTCACACCAAGTGTGGGACTCAAGGACTCGGGTTAATGGAGAGGGGAGACTCGTCACGACCAGCTCATTTCTAGGATCCGGGTTAATGATCCGGATGAATCAGGACTCGCCCATCTCTAATAGAGAGAGAGGGAGAGAGGGGGAGGGAGAGAGGGGGAGGGAGGGACCGGTGCCCGGTGCCCGGTGCCAGCAGGGACCGTGTTGTTAGCATCTGGTTAGCTAGCTGCACTAACGGACATAAGGAGCTGTTTGTTCCACAAGAAGCTGGAGGAGAGTCCTCTCCTCTCAGACTGAGAGACTCAGGTGAGCTAAAGGACTCTCTGAGTGTTTAGATAGTTAACTTTAGTCTAAGTTATCTCAGTGGGTCTCAAACGGTTTGGTCACAAATGATTCAAAAGATTATTTCCGCGGCACACCTTCATATGATCATTATAGTTATTAAAAAAATAAGAGACTAAAGGAAAAACAGTTATGAAATACTGTATGGCAGTAAAACAAGAATAGAGTTTAAAAGGAGAGTGATTAGTACAAATATCCATAAAGAAAAAGTAAATCTGTTGACAGTTCTGTTTCATATGGGTGTTGAGAGAGGTATCCAAAGATCTCTTAATGTTGCTCTCAAAGTGCACCAGATTGATGCTTTTAACTTCAATATTTAAAAAAAAATCTTCCCGGGGGAGCATCCCCCCGGACCCCCTAGAGGAGGTGAGGTCCGCCCCCCACTCATAAAAAATACCACTTTACCCCTGCCTATATGCCGTGAGCTGATTATCGAGCCTTCATTGTAACAGTCGCGGGTGTACTGTGTGTGTGCGTGTGGGGAGTGTTGCAGTAAAAAATGCCACTGTAGTGCCGCCGTCACTGTGGGCTAAGCCCCGAATGTTTTCAGGTCCAGGCGACGCCCCTGGTCATGACAAGGACGTTCTCAAGGTTCCGGGAAGGTTCCAACAAGGTGAAATCTATTGCCAAGATTTCATTGGGTCGTGAGGCAAGCAAGTGGCCCATAAAGCTATGGGGAACATGTCCTGAGTCTTTTGCCACTTGGCAACGTTCACACTCTTGGACCCAGCTCTTGATATCCGAGGACATGCCCGGCCAATAGCATCGTTGTCTGATTAACTCTGTAGTCCTTTCGATTCCTTGGTGGCCATGCTCTTGGTGTAACTGCTTCAATGTTTCCTGCTTGAGAACAGCAGGCAAAATGAGCTGAAGATATTCTTCACCTCCATCAGGGCGGAACACTCGTCAGAAAAGGACTCCGTCTTTCTCCACAAGGCGGTCCCATTGACGTAAAAGCGCCATGACTGGACGGCGAAGCTGCTGCCTCTCAGCCGAGGTAGGCTGGGCCTTACGTCGCCAAAACACCAATACCTCTTCGAGGAGTGGGTCATCTTCCTGCCAGGCACGAAGATCGGTTGCCGAGTGGGTTGGAAGAACCGAGACCAAAGACTGAGTTGCAGCCACCACAGGAGAAGCGGAAATGGGAGGGACCCAGTTTGGCACCTCAGCTTAAATAGCCGGTGCGCTCAATTGGTGCGCTGCGCTGGCCCGGTGCCAAGCAGCGGCACAGATGGAGAAGACCTCCGGTCACATATATAAATAAAATATTGACTAAGGATGAACTCACCTCTTTGTTGATGATATCTTGGTAATGTTATTTTCTCCGTTCATAAAAGGTTTGCAGATGTCAGAGCCCAACGTGTCCCTCTGCTTAAAGAAGCTAACAGGCCTCAACAACATGTCTCGAGATATAAATGTTAGTGAAGGGACCAGCCCTTGTTTGCATATATTTAGCTTGTTGGCATTTCTAAATGTTTTAACAGCTCTATGCACGCAACCTGCACAACACAAGTACAAACAGGCCAATACTCAGCTGTATTGTAGTCGGACATGTTTAGTCTTTTATCAGTTGTAATTCTTTTTTTATAATAGCATTGATGTTGGAACATTTTAATTGGGGCATTAACCATAGAGGAGCAAGAACAAGAAAAGTGCTTTCTAAAACAAATACAGATGTTTTATTGGTGACACTGCTTTGGTAAGTTATGTTCTGTTGGATGGTAAATTACTGAGGTCTGACTGTACATTTATGGATTCTTAGTTCATTCTCATCAGAATATGGTTTTTTTTCTCAGTGTAATGTTCACTAAAAATGATGGAGTAATGTTAATCTGCTTTATGGAAGAGTTCTACCAACACATGATATGCAAACAAACAGAGCACTGATCATCCCTTACAGTTCTTTTTGATGTGTTTTACTTGCATCTTCACAAAAAACATACTTTGGTGTACAGGTAGTGCTCTATTGGCAGGTTCAACCAAAGTAAATATGGCCATTATTTTGTTGAGTGTTGTTAAGATTGTGTTAATTGTCGCCATCAAGTGTGTACTTTGAGGATCACAGTCACCACTAAGATCTTAGTTTAACTCTTAAGATAAAACTGTTTCCAGAGATTCAGGGTTTATGTATAACTACAGCCCTGCAGTCTCATTCTGTGAGCTAAGTTATTTGATGGAGAAATGATGTGTGCATCCCCATTACTAAGGCAAGAAAATACTTAAGCTATATTATTTGTCTAAAAACTAGACTTTAATGTAGTGCCAGAATTCAACCGTATAAATTACAGTCTGAACATCAATTTGTCTTTATTCTTCTCGTATTCTGCAGAAAAATATCCATAGTTACACATCTCCAAGCATCCATCCGTGACTGATCTTCGACGTGTTCAACCTGGAAGACATCTGGACATCAGTCATCTTTTTTTTTGTAATTGAACTTATGAAGGGATTTACCATAATGTGTCACAGAAATGCTGTCCTATTTGAAAATACTCTTAGACTCTATGGTAATTTCTAAGAAAGCCATTATTTCAAAGCATATTGACAAGACAAACGCTGCTTTATAGCTTATAGAAAATAGAAGCTGACAAACATCTATTGTCAGTTCAAAATACAATCATGAGATGCAGGGCGAGATATTGAAAATAAGAAGTATTAATGACGAGAGGAAAGAAAAGGAAATTGTAAAAATTGCAAAACAATGCCCATTGCAGGATAAAATCTGACAATATTTTGTGGGAAATGTTTACAATCGTCGAAGAAGAACAGAGTTGTTGAAAAAAAATCCAAGGGAAGATAGAAATTGAAATGTAATATATATCCAGAAGGTGGCAGTAATGCATGCCGGCTTCTTTGAAATACCAACGAAGAAGAAGAGGAAGAAGAAACAGCAACAGCAGCAGGAGAAGGCGACGAAGAAGAATGACGAGAATACTAAACTGAAAATAGAGGGACGAAGTACACTTTAGTCAACGTTAAATTAACGCTGTTAACTCAAAACATTACCTTTGAACAAAGTGGCATTACATTTGCTAAACTATGACTGAGCCTCAGTCTGCGCTGTTACTCAGGAGACAGCTTGCAGGTAACGTTAATTATTAAACCTTGGTGGTAACTGATGCTGGCTGCCGAGCTAACGATGAGCCGCCGCCGTTAGCTGTGATTCAAACGATGGTGCTACTGGCGCAAACTGTTTTCTTCAGCCTTTCACACTAACGCCAATGACAAATAAACTGCGCTGACTTTATAGCAGTGGGCGTCGACAATTAACAACATCCAGTGTGTTGAGAGACCAACTCTTTTGTATTAAGACGTTACATACTGTTTTCAGTTGAAAGCCGCTGTCAGAAGTCCCAGCGACTTTCTAGTGTCGTGCTAGCTTAAAGCAGCTAGCATCACGTTAGCCTCTAGCTGGCTTGACTGAGTCGATGTGTTTACATATATTTCAACAGACATAACAAGTAGTGTTTCATTGTATAGACACGGTGTTCGCTAGTTATGTGATCAACCTGATGTTAGTTAATGTATTTGTGTATACAATAACATAATGTTCCACTAAATTACACAATGGTGTTGGCAAACCGTATTTAATTGTTAACATAATACTCGCTCCATCTGTATGCTAAGTTAGCTGCTGTCACTGTTGTTAGCTTCAACACGCCTAGCTAACGAGCTAATCTCGCATTATCTATATTCGCAGTTTTAGCAGAGACAGTCTGCCAATTGCATTTGACATATTTCTAAGAACACTTGAGTCGAACAACGCATCATGTAACTTGTTTGGTTTGTAGTACTCATTTGAGATTTGCGGTTGAGATTGTTTACTCCATCAGAAGCCTTTCAGGGACATAATGTGCTCTTGTGTAGCTTTATATAAGGATATTTCTGAGTAGGACTTGATTGCAATGAGGTAACTAATCTGATGTCACAAATGTTTAGTTGCCTCCCTATAAGCACTTGGAACAATTGCAGAGGCTGTTTATTGTCCTTTTGTTGCAGACATACACTTATAACAGAATCCAGTGTAGCATTGAAACTCACTACTGGTATTCTCTACCCAATGCATCAGTGCTTGTGAAGTAATCTTAAAGTCTCAGAGTTCACTTGTGACATAGAGGCAGCTATTTAAAAAATTGAACATACAGAAAGGTAGAATAGAAGTTAATGTGTTCACTCACTGACCAATAAAACATATCTATATCTCTGAGGACTTTATAGATAGATAAAGCCCTCAGATATACTACTATCTAGTAGAGTACTACTACTAACACTAACAAATTAAATCTATTATTTATTATTATTATTATTATTACTAATACACTAATGTACAGTATGTGCCCTACTGCACAGGTACTTGATGTCCCAAGCCGTGCCAACAAACAAATAATAGAAGTTTATAATCCTTTTACCTGAATCTGCATCAAATAAAAGAAAGAGATAGACAGTTATCCATTTATTCACAATAATTTCCCAAACACTTTAAAGTAAACATTTAAATCCAACTCATGAATCAAGAATCGTTGAAATCATTAAAAAGGCAAGGAATATAAAAAAAATACTATTTAATAACTATAATTATAGTGATACAAATGTTTTGTGGTGATCAGATTTGGGAACAATTTGAGAGAAACATGTCTTAAAACACTGCAAATCTGTGTAGGGGGATATGTTGTTGATAAGATTACTTAATTCCCTAGATTTCTTGAATCTTGGAAAAAAAAAAAAAATATTGTATGCCTCACTGTTCAGAAATGTTGAGCAAAACATAACCATCTTTATAAATGAGCACACACCGGCATAATTTAAACCGAAATTAATCCGATCATCCTAAAACGAATACATGCAAATAGGACCAACATCCTAACTTTTTTTTAAGCGGTGAAAAGCCCACAGGGTTTACAACAATCACATACAATTGACTGTCACTCTACCCTTTTACATTTTTCCTTAGACCAACATAAACTGACTGACAGGATTTTAGATTTTGCTCAGAATCAGTATTCTGCACAAGTGGTGATGGTATATTTAAGTTTGTTAATATTCTATAAGTAATAATACATGTTGAAATGCAAGAACAGTTAGGAGTTACAAAGGGAAATATGTCTCTAGAATTGCAGCTTGATCCAGTAAGTGAGTAGGAGTTGGCTGAATAGGATGGTGTGTGGTTTCAGCAACAAGAAGCTCCATTCACACCCCCAAGCAAGGCCTCCATAGACAAGGGTTTTAAGGCACAACATCATTGTAATTTACATTCTGTAGGAACTATAATAAAATGAGCTAATGGCAATTTGAATCTGGCTTTTGTTTTCATACCAAGAGCTAAACAAAAACCCAGTGGAAGGATTCTCAGCTGGCCTGATCGAGGATAATGATCTCTACAGATGGGAAGTACTGATCATCGGGCCTCCAGACACACTGTAGTAAGTTTACCATATTACCAAAAAAATATGTTTATGTTGGGCCTGGCAACTCTTATTGCTCCTCAGTTGCTATGGATGCTGTGAAATGTACACAAAATGCACTTTTTAAAATATTGATTATTCTCTTTTTTCCACAGTGAAGGCGGTGTGTTTAAAGCTCATCTGACATTTCCCAAAGATTATCCTCTCAGGCCACCTAAAATGAAATTCATCACAGATATTTGGCATCCTAATGGTACGTACAGGTGCCTGCTTCTGTTTGTAGTAAGACAACCCCTTTAAATTAATTTCAGAAATGTTTAGGATTTTTTATTTTTGTGATATGCATAAATGCTTATGATAACAGGCGTTTGTTAGTTTTTTTTAAATTAAAGTCAGAGGAATACATTCCAAATAATGTCAATATAAGGCTGTACCAGGGATACCTTTTATTTACAAGTTATAGAATAAGGTAAGTCTTGCTAAAAAATGCAATCAATGTGACAAAAATAAACTTAAAAATGACAGACATTTTTCATAGGAACTGTCTAAGAACAATATCATGAACTGGTTTGGTAGTTGATAAGCTAAATGTCATGTGGACATGACTATATATTGTGTAATTATTATTACACAAACGTATAGCATAGGCAACGCAAATAGCATTTTCTGCTTCACAAGTTTTCATATATTTTCTTTTTCTTTCCAGTTGACAAAAATGGAGATGTATGTATTTCTATTTTGCACGAGCCTGGGGAGGACAAGTACGGCTATGAGAAACCAGAGGAGCGCTGGCTGCCGATCCACACAGTGGAAACCATCATGATTAGTGTTATCTCTATGCTGGCTGACCCAAATGGTGACTCACCAGCCAATGTAGATGCTGCAGTAAGTTTAATTATTTAAAAGGGTTATTAGAAATAGTATCCTTCCCTGTAATTGTAGGATTTTTTTATACCATTTTTAATTTACTTTAAATGTATTTGTTTCATATGATTTTTGTGTATTTTAATTGTTTTGTATTTAAAGGTGGGGTAGGTAATTTTGGAGAAAACCGGCTCGAGATCGCTAGAATTAGGAAATACACGGCCGGAAAAAATCTGCCACTTCCTTACAGAGCCCCTCCTCCAACACACACGAACCCGCACATGACCAATGAGGGCACGAGATAAGTTTGTGCACAGATGGAAGGCTGACAGGCAGGTAGGCCATCCAGTTATTTTAGCCGGGCCGGCTAAAATGATTGGTCGTGCTTTTTACAGTACTACGGCTTCCACAGATGACATTTTTTTTATGGATTTTTTGTCAAAGTACTTAAGATATTCATTGCTATCGGGATGTTAAGAGCATTCCATGGAATATAACAAAAAGTCAAGCCGGTTTCTCAAACTTACCTACTCCACCTTTAATATAGATGTAAGGCAAATGATAATGCATATTTCTTTGTCTTGTTTTATATATCCATTTTCAACAAAGTACATCTTTGGACAAACTATGTCAATTAATACAAGAAAATAGAAATAGTGTCTGCATGAAATGCATTTGCTTGTCTCTTCCAAGCACAAACAAATGCAAGAAATAGCTTATGTATGTCTGCAATGGCATTAAATAGAGCATATATCTAAAAATGCACAAGTAAAAAATGCATGAATGTAATATAGCAATGAAATAAAAATGGAATAGGCCAAACACTTGAAAAGATAAACTGAATAGTTTACCTTTTTTCCCTCTGCAGAAAGAGTGGAGGGAGGACAGACACGGCGCATTCAAAAGGAAAGTTGCCCGCTGTGTACGAAAAAGCCAAGAGACTGCGTTTGAGTGATATTTAGCAACAAATCTAGCTTCATGTTTTCAGGGTAAGTATTCTTGACTTCACAAATCACAGCTTCCTTGTGCATCAGGCTAAACCAGTCATTTGGCATGCCATGTTTATTAGACACTCCTGTGCCCTCTAGACGATGTAGGCCTCAGCATCTGTTCCAATGTAAAAGGGGGAATGGAACTGGGCAATAGCTGTGACATTGTTTGAAATAGACATATCGATTCTCTACTTAAAGGAACCAGAAATGCACCTTTAGTCTTACACTATCTCACCTGACCCTAGGGTGCCACTCACTGTCAAACTGACTAGAATAAAAGTACCAATGAGTACAGAATTTATACCCTAACTTTATATTGCACACACATCAAACCGGTGTTATATACTTCATGTCTTTTGCCTTGTTATCATTTAATATTTGAGCTTGTTGATTGGTCCAGCTGCTTGCCAACATTTATTTTCTGTTATATCTTGTGGACTTTCCCACAGGTCTCCAATTGAAAATTCAACATGGCACTGTTCCTGCACTCTTCCACCCTGTCGCCAGGCTTGTCCTCCTTTATATTTCGGCAGGAACAGACTGGCTACTGTAGGCTGCAATAGAACATACAAGTGAACACCAAGACTGACAGACAACCGCCAAGCAAGTGCCAACACAAAAAACAACAACAAAACCCCCAGAAGACGATAAAACATTTTTCAAGTCTGTGAACTGCTTCAACATTCAGGAAGATATTGTAAAGACATGTATATAGCACAGACTAAACCGGATAATATATAAGCACCCTTTCCATCCATCAAGACACTTAGACCAAATGAAAAGCGCTGGCTCAGATAGATTTATTTGTTTCCATTTTCTCTCCTTCAACCCCAGCATGCATTAATGATCTTTTAGATAGTTTGAACAGAAGGTCTTGTATAGAAAGAGAGGTGTGAAGCTGTTGGAGGAATATCACCTATGAAGAACTTGATTGACTCGAGAAAGAGATGGATGACCGATGGAGGGACTACAGCCATATTAGAACACGCAGATGGATTCTCTAACACTCAGAGCTCAACATCTACGTGACCCTGATCGGTTTTCTCTTTTCTTTATCTGTTATCTGTCCTTCCATCCGGCTCAGTTGAATGAAGAAAGGCAACATACCCCGTACATTTTTTGTGCATGCTACATTTTGTTGATCTTTTTTCAAAAGTGCCTCCTAATAAAATGCTTGGCCAATTCACCCTGCATTGAACATGTGTTAAAAAATGGTGTACCACCTATGTATACATTTATTTAAAAACAAATACACAGGGAATCTGTATAATTAGGGTGTTGGTAACAATTTGGTGTGGCAATAACTCTCCTAGTATGAAGTGTACACATCTTAATTTTTTATATCCAGATCAAATTTGAGGACACTCCCCGATATTATGTTATTTTAGCAGCCCCTCTTTTCCATGTCCGTGTAGTCCTCAGTAGGAATTGTTATGCATGCTTCATCGTACCTTTGTTTAGGTTTGTTTTCTTTGCTGAATGTTTCTTGGATTTTGTTTGCGAATGTTTTGAGTGTGTATAAGGAATGTGTGCCCCATTTGTTTTGTCGCTCTACCCCCTTCATCCACAAACTCACGTTTATTCTGCTCACTGAACTATTGCAGTTATGCCTAATGTACAAAGACAAAATACTGATGTATATTTTTCATGTTATGAAACCTGTCACCTGTAGTAAGTTCTTCTAAAATATGACTTGTTTTCAATATCTACTTGTGTATTTAATTCAGGTATGTTTTGAAAACAACAATGACTAAATGTTGCTCTTCACATAGACAATGGAAACCTTTCCTGTGGTATTAACCAAGTATGCTTCACAGTATTTAAAAAAAGAATCCTCATTAAATATTGCATATATTTAGATAATTCATACACATTAATGCTCTGTGCCTTAGGCATTTATTTTGCTTTTCTGGTCAAAAGTTTTTACTGGAAGATTTTACCTTGTTTTCCAATAGTCAAAAAACAAATCAAATGTTGGTGATGGAAAACCACATAGCCAAATATTACACTTTTCAGAACTACTGTAACATTGTTGCAGTTTATAGGTATGTCAACGCTTGTTCTGTCTTGCAACCCCTGCAAGCACATTACTGTCAACAAGGAACATTGTAGAAATTGAATGGAGTAGTCCATAGTTTTTAGAAGCATAAGCTAGAAATTAGTACAGAATTGTGTCATATACAGCAGCTCAAAATGTGGAATTCTTTAACATTTGAGCAGAATTTTTACTTAATCAACTAGTATTTTGGAACTATTGAGCTTCTGACACATAATGTATAGTACAGTACATTTTCTATTTGATTTATTTCCGGGGATCAGGCATGTACCAACAAACATAATTGTAAGGAGGTCAGTAGCTTTTTTATATATACAATGAATGAACCAATAAATACTTAAGCAGATCTTAATAGGAGTCTCAGATAAAAAGGATACTTGTATCTCTTTTAAATCCACTATGTGTACTTTGTGTAACTCTTACTGCAGGAATTTGCTGGCTGGCACATTCGTAGACATAGGTAGGATTTTGGCAGAAGCTCCTGAAGGCAACATAAGTTGGACAACCGTTTACCAAATTGACCTAAACCGTACTGCTTTGGTTCAGAAACACAACACCTTTTACAGTTTAGTATTAAAAAAACACATCATTTTATTGTCACTTGCACCACTTATGTAAAAGAACCAATTTTAATATCAGTGCAAGAAGAATAGGGGAGATCATGTGATGAACTATCAATCAGCGTGTTTTGCGGACCACTTGAACGCAGCACCACTGCCCACTATCCGGCTGCTCGTCATATCGCGATAGAGACGGAGCTAACGCTGAGCAACATGGCGGAAGGTATGAGATTGGTTTTTTGACTGTTGGGTGCACTCCCTGTTTTCAGCGTATGCTTGTTGAACTGTTGGTCCGGATCAACCAGTGTCTTGTCAGTTAAATAAACCGTGCATTGTCTGTAGGTAATAATACAAAGCATTGCGACAGCTGAACCTGTCAGTGAGCCAGCTCTGCCGTTAGCTTCTCGTTGATGTTGCTAGCTGAATTTTATAGCTACGAGTTAGCCGAACCGGACAAGAGATGTTGGTGGGTTGGACCGAGGAGAATAATTCCGTTTTAGGCAAATTGCTAGTTTGCTACGTAAGAAAACACCCTTATGTTAACTTACAGAGTTGCAAGTAATGTTGGTATTACGGTTTAATTAAATGTCGGCGTCACGAATCCAATCAGACGATATACATTATAATTTCAGTAACGATACCGGTCAACTCTACCTTAACTGTGTCTGTCATTTGAACAAGACAACACAACAAAACATATTGTTTATATGATACAATTTCTGTGAAAAGGAGGGTAAATACATGAGGCAGGAGACTACAAGTGACAGGGTAGCTGTCACTCCCTGAAAGGTGTTACCTGCACAACCTGGCAGTAGTGCCATAGCCAAGTGCACCACCTATATTTGGCCTAGACACAAGGGAATGTGTGTTGTGTGTTCCTCCTTAAAGTAAATCTACTTACAACTTGGATCCAGATAATTTACAATCCAATGTAGGTGCTGTTAGGGTTGTGTAAGGATCTGCCCCATTGCTACCGAGCAGAAAACACATGTTTGGACTTTCTGCGTCTGAGCCTTACCTTCAATGGGAAAGTGAAATGAAAAAGAGAAGGCCCATTTTTTTAAATTTTCAAATTGCCCCTTCAATGCTTGTATTATGTTGTGAGTAGCAAAGTTTGAGACTATTCTCATCCGGTGGTGTATTTACAGTAAATGCCTAAGCTTATTGTTTTGCATAGCCTGGAAGAGACTAGATTATGTTAACAAGTCCTGACAAAGAGGAGTGCATTTCATACTCAACACTTGGTAAGATGCATTGTTTACACAGGGTGGAGAACTGCTTGTACATACAGTTGTCTTGGGACAGACTTTTTAAAGCTTCATGCAAAAACGTGCTTTTAAAAAAACACTAAGTGATGTCTGCTTATCCTGCAAAGGGAAAGTGTGCTTTAGTACATAGTGTAGGAATAAGTCCAGTTGCTGGTCAGTTGGCCCTAAACTGCCGGTCCTCCGTATCGCCCTTCCTGTGTTGAGCTGATCAGGTGGTTTTCAGAAGCACCCCCCTCCTGTTCCTCATGACTAGTAGCTGTGCCAGTAACGGTTTACGAGGAAGGACGAAGTAACGTGCCGTCTCAGCATTCTTTCCTCACTAAAACTTTACTGGTATAAAGGAAGGAAATGGGCCCCCGTGAAACTCTGGAATCAAGGCTGATACATAAAAAAGTGTTGTAACACTAAGATCTGTGGAATGTGGAAGTGTAATGCATTAAGAGGAATAGGGAAAGGTTTGTAAGATTTGGAAACTTAAATCGTGTATGCCCTATGTAGGGAATGCGGACATTTATTTTATTCTGTGCAACGTGGTGACACAGAAATGGGCCATAATTATGAAAAAGAATAATGGATCAAGTCACAATTCTCAAAACAACACTGTAGATGAAAATCCAGTTCACAATCAGCAACATTTGTATTTTTCTGTCCCTTCATATCATCATTGTCACAAATAAAAGTGTGAAATAAATTACACTAACTACTATAAATTGCAGCCATTGTATTTTCGACCAACCCTTTTAACTGAAAAAGTGGTCCAAATAGTCCCGTTTCAAATTGTGATCAGTTATAAATATTTCTGACCTACTTTTTGTATCCCTACATCTTTGTTTTGTCCTCTACCTGTCTCCCTCTCCTTGATGTGGCACAGAGGAGGTGGCCAAGCTGCAGAAGCACCTGGCCCTGCTCAGGCAGGAGTATGTGAAGATGCAGCAGAAGCTGGCTGACACAGAGCGGCGCTGTGCCGTGCTCGCTGCTCAGACCCCTAGCCAGGGCTCCCCCAGCCCTGCAGCTGCAGACACCTTCATCAGCCGCCTGCTGGACATCGTGGCCAACCTCTATCAGCAGGAACAGTACAGGTGAGGACCAGCAGGGATGGCTACATCTTAGCTTGAGATGTAGCTAATCCAGCAGTTCTGGATATGTTATCATGTGACAGTAATGTGCCTGCTCTGGTGTGACTTGTGTGAAACAACCTACCTACCTTATTGCAGTCACATGCAAAAACCTGTCAATGTACGTCATGCATCAACGGAATATTTAACCCATAAAAATGATAATTTTCCTTCTGTTGATTGATTGAAGTAAATGGTGGCATTCTTTCAAAACATCCATTTACAAGCTCTCAAACTACTTTGCGATATATTCTAAGTCTCCTTTCCTATATTGACTACTTCATGAATACATCCTTTTTCACTCACAATTCCTGTGAGACTGTTGTGAAAGATTGTAAACCAATGTTTTGATATAGTTTTGTGTTGTTAAATGCTTCCATCATCTACCTAAATGTATTAAGAGTTTTCTTCATTTATGGAATCCTTGTCCACTGTGAAGGCGTTTTCTTTGAGAAGATATATATATAAACACCTGTGTTTTTCAGAGATGAATGTGTTTGTTTTGCAGTGATCTGAAAGTGAAAGTCGCAGGGGAGAATCTCAGTGCCCATAAGTTTGTGTTGGCAGCTCGCAGCGATGCCTGGAGTCTGGCTAACCTGTCCTCCACCTCCGAACTGGACCTATCTGGTGAGCAAACTATGGTGTGATGTCACTGTGTTAATGGCGAAGGTTTAAATGAATGTAAATCCAGTCCTTACCTACCCACGTCTATCAGTCAACATGCCTATGACTATTTATTTTGGAGCTGATCAAGCAGACTGTCAAAGTCCAGTATTGTGCACAGTTTTGTTCAGAGTAGGTTTTAGCCGTCCTACCTATTTCACAGTAAACTTATCAGTCTGGGTTGAATTCAAATAAATATGAGCAAATGCCGGAGAAATGTGGAATACCTCTGATAAACATTTTTTTATAGTTGAGTGTATTCCAGTTTTCAAAATAAAGGAATACATTTTTTAAGTTGTCCAAACTCATTGTTATATGGGGTGTAGAGTATCTAATTAAATTTGTTACATCTTAAGTAAACATTTTAAGTAAATATTGTACTTTTAAATCATCTGCATTCAATTGGCAACATTAGTTACTTTGCAGGTTCAGATTATTAATTAATAAACATATATTTTCAAATAGTTTATAATGTACTATTCTAAATTAAGAAAACCTGTCAACATAAGAAGTAATTCAAGTTAGCGCCACCTTTACCAGGAACAAAATACAAATGTAATGTATACATTTCCATCTCTGAAAATGACGGTAGGTTAGTCATTGATCGCTCTGCATACATTTCTGACTTGGTGACATGATTGATCTCCAGATTGCAAACCTGAGGTTGCCATGGCAATGTTGCGCTGGGCATACACGGATGTGTTGGAGCTTACTGAAGATGATGCCTTTCTAATTGACTTGATGAAGTTAGCCAACCGCTTCCAGCTTCAGCTGCTCAGAGAGAGGTCAGTCACCAGCCATATATACTTACTTCCTATCTGCAGGCTTTAATTTAACTTGAATTGATGCTAGTGGCAGCATTACTGATACATAACATCTTACAGAGGAACATGTGTCACTTAACAGCCCATAAATACATGTGTTTCTCTCCTTTGACAGGTGTGAAAAAGGCGTGATGTCCTCAGTGAATGTCAGGAACTGCATACGCTTCTACCAAACAGCTGAGGAGCTTAATGCCACCACCCTGATGAACTACTGTGGGG